AGCATCATCATCACCACCACCACTACCAACGTGATCATCATCAGCAACAGCGTCAGAATCACCACCATCATCATCATCATCATCATCATCATCACCATCGTCATCATCAGCAGCAGCAGCGGCAGCATCTAAATCAGCATCATTTCATCATCATCGTCATCATCATCAGCAGCAACAGCATCAGCATCATCAGCATCATCGTCACCACCATCATCCTCATCCTCATCCTCATCCTCATCATCATCCTCATCACAGTCATCATCATCACCAGCAGCAGCATCATCAGAAGCAGCAGAAGCATCAGCATCATCACCATCATCAGCAGCAGCAGCATCAGCATCAGCATCAGCAGCAGCATCAGCATCAGCAGCATCAGCATCAGAATCAGCATCATCTGCATCATCATCTGCATCATCATCAGCAACAACAGCATCATCATCAGCATCATCATCACAATAATCATCATCAGCAGCATCATCATCATAATCAGCATCGTCACCATCATCTTATTATTCATCAACATCATCACCAGCAGCAGCATCATCAGAAGCAGCAGCAGCAAAAGCATCATCACCATCATCAGCAGCAGCATCAGCATCAGCATCAGCGTCAGCATCATCATCAGCAGCAGCATCATAATCAGCATCATCTGCATCATCATCATCATCATCATCATCATCATCAGCAGCAGCAGCAGCAGCAGCATTATCAGCACTAGCATCAGCATCAGCATCAGCATTAGCATCAGCAGCATCATCATGGTGCTGCTCCTTTTGCAAACTGAAACCTCAAGAAGTCTCCGAGCGCCGCCTAGGATCCTCCGAAGACCGCCCAGCCGCTGAAAACATCCTCCCTCCCAACCTGCTTCGCCTCCCAGCCCCTGGGGCGCGCGACTGCGCTGGGGCTCCTTCATGGCGCTGAAGGTCGTGTGCGAGGAGATCAGCATCCCCTGCTTCCTCGGCGCTGGGGCCCACGGAGCATAAGGAAGGACGAGAGCAAAGTAAGGCGCATGCTCATGCGGGACTCGTTGATGCAATCACGCAGGGTCCAGCGCGCAGTCTGCAAGTTTAATCAAGGCTGGTGGGGATTCTGCGATTAGCACAGCACCAGGAGCAGGTACTGCGGTACGAGCCAACCTGAACTGGTGGCAGCAGTCATGCGGACCGCGAGGACGAGGACGAGGAAGAGGGCAAGGAGGGGGCGGGGGAGGCGCGGAGGAGGCGCCGGAGGCGCCGCCAGGGGGGAGAGGGGGGGGGGGGCGGAGCGCCAAAAGTTTAGGTTTGTGGCGATTTGTCTTCCTCGACTCCCCCGAGCCTCCCCCCCCCACGCTGCCCCTCAGGGGGGCCCGCCTCGCTGCCCCCGCGCGCGCAGGGCCACCTCTCGCCGCGGATGTGGGCCGCGCGGCCGGCGACCCGCCAGGGCGCGGCGGCCCGCCCGCACGCCCGCTCCCCGCCAGCCGTGCGAGGGCCCGGCCCCTGCCGCGGCTGCGCCTGCGCCGCCTCCGCCTCGCCCCGCTGGGAGGCCACCACGCGCGGGAGCACGATCAAAAATTGGCGGCGAGCGAGGGGGGGAAACGAGAAGGCGAAGGCCTTCTCAGAAGGCGGCGGGGCTTCTCAGGAACCCTCGCGCCTTCTGAGAAGTTGCTCGTGCCTTCGGGGAAGGCTTAGAAAACTTCTCAGACGGCCGTGGGACTTCCGAGCCTTCTGAGAAGGCCCTCTCCTTCTCACTTCCCCAACCCCCCTCGCTCGCCGCCGACGTAGGCCACCACACGTGGGGCGGCAGTTGAAAAAGGGGCCTTACGCGAGATGGCATGGCGACCGTACGCGGTGGTTTATGCGGGCCGCCAGCGCGGCACGCTTTATGGGAAACGAGGGCGCTTACGCGTGAACTCACGCGGGCACCTTACGCCACTGTCGGCGAAAGTGACCCCATTTTTTTAGCGTCGCTCACGTGGACCCCACCCCTGCAGGTCAGATCTGGCCGCGTCCATTTGTAGCGTTGCCAACCTGCGGCAGTCACACACCCGTGTCGGCGGGCATGTTGCGTGACCCCTCTCGGGAGCCCTCGGGGGGAACCCTCGGGATCCTAACGGGGCTGGTGTGACCCCGTGTTGGCCCCGTGACCCAGCGGGGCTGTGTGACCGCATATTGGCCATGACCGCCGCTCCAATACAGAGCCCTCGTGACGCGAACAAAATGAACGGCGGCATCTCTGAAGCGCCGGCTGGTGCTCTGGAATCCGAAGGATGTCTGCAGCCAGGTGAACTGCAGCGAGGGTGTTCGATACCCCCTCACCGACTGGACACACTGTGTCAGGGCCCGCCAGTGGCCTCCCCCGTTGGCTTGGCCCCCGCGGCACGGCACGGTGGGCGCTGGTGCCATGACCATGCTGCGTTGGCGGCATCTCCCAGCCACCGCTGAGGAGCTGCCCTGCGCCGGGGGGGGGGAGGCTCCGCCCACGCCCATCCCCAGGCCCCGCGGCGACGGCGATGGCTGCCGCCTCCGCTGGCTGGCCGATGGCTGGGCGCGCGCTTGCCTTCTCGCTGCTCCGCGCCACTGCCCACAGCCGCGGGAGCCGACGGAGCGCGGTCTGTTGCTGCCTTCGTTCCGCGGGTGCGGGTGCGCGTGTGCCGCGTGCTCCGACGTCGGCACGGCGCGCGCAGCACGACGTAGCTCTCAGCCTGTCCGTGCCCACAGGGAGAGGACGAAGGCTTCCGAGCACAACTGGAGCAGGGGAGGCACAGCTGGAGGAGAGCCGTGATCATTCATTCGAGTACTTACGATCCAGGGGCAGATGCGATTTGAGATTAGACCTGATAGGGAGGGCATCTCAGAGCCCAAGCGCGTGGGGGTCAGTAAAAAGAGAGGGCAGCGGTTGTCGAAGGGAGAAGGACGGAATACCAGGAGACGGGACTGGAGTCGGCGGAGGCGGAGACAGGAGACTATCGACACTTCGGGGCAAGACGGGTGGCGTGACGAGTACTTTGGGCAAGATGTATTCTGCTCAGCGCAAGTCTAGAAGTTGGAGAAGGAAAAGGAAAGCTGAGAATAATGACCGCGAAGCATCAGATGAAGTCGCATGTCCTCAACGTGGTATCTACGACAAGAGTCACGTCGTGACATCATTGTTGGCTCGGGATGCCCAGGATACGTATACAGTACCAGCAGCTGCGGAGTAGCCAGCGGCCCTCGTCTCTGGAGTCCGCGCGAGCCAACAGGAAAACCTGGGAACCCTGAAACGCATCCTCCTCCTCCTCCTCCTCCTCCTCCTCCTCCTCCTCTTCCTCCTCCTCACCATCCTCCTCCGCCCCCTCCTTCTCCTCCTCCCCCGCCTCCTCCTCCTCCTCCTCCTCCTCCTCCTCCTCCTCCTCCTCCTCCTCTCCTCCTCATCCTCCTCCTCCTCCTCCTCCTCCTCCCCAACTCCTCCTCCTCCCCCCCTCCTCCTCCTCCTCCTCCTCCTCCTCCTCCTCCTCCTCCCCCCCCTCCTCCTGCCCCTCCTCCTCCTCCTCCTCCTCCTCCTCCTCCTCGTCCTCCTCCTCCTCCTTCTCCTCCTCCTCCTCCTCCTCTTCCTCCTCCTCCTCCTCCTCATCCTCCTCGGCGGCGAGCCCAGAGGGAAGGCAGAGAGGGCCTGCTCGCAAGGCTCAGGAGGCCGCTTGCCTGTTGGGAGGCTCCCTGAGCCTCCTCCGAAGCCACCGAGGGCCTCTCAGAAGGCCAGAGGGATTCCGACAAGCCCCGCCGCCATCTGCGAACGCCTGCCACCTCTCCCTTCCCCCACACACACACGGACACGCACACACACACACACACACACACACACACACACACACACACACATACACACACACACACACACACACACACACACGGACACGGACACGGACACACACACACACACACACACACACACACACACACACACACACACACACACGCCGCCGCTTGAAGTGACCAAGACCTCCGAGAGGAGATGGAGCACGCGGCAGGGAGAAGCGGCGGCGTCAGCAGGTGGAGCGCCGCTCGAGCGCACGGGGCTGCCTGCACAACATGTTGCGTGAAATGGCTTGTGCTTCTGCGTCCTGACAGCAAGAATCACCGTGCAACATAACGAACGGTTCTCAGGCCACGACGAGCTATGGCCACAGCTAAAATCCCCCGACCTAGATCTAAGGGACTGCCCGAACACCAGAGCCCCTCCTGAACCCAAAAGGGTCCTCATGTCAGCGTCCTTGCCGTAAGACTTGGATCCGATCCTGCCCTGAGAACTCCTGGTCAAGCGCTACTTCTGGCACGGGAAGCACCGACAAAAGAAGTCGCTGCTGATCATCACATACCGACAGGGGAGAATGAGGAGCGTGACAGCCCAGGCACGGTGACGAACGGATACTGCAACAGGGCTTGCAAGCCTGGCTGCGCCTTGACGGGGACGGGTAAGCTGGCTTCCGTGCGCCGGCGCGCTCCCTTTCCGTCCGCCGCCTCCTTTTCGTGCTCTGGGGCTGCGGCCCAGAGTTCTGCGAAAATCTGGCTGGGCCTCGAGCACTGCGGCTGGCCCTGGAAAGAAACATCACGGCAGCCGGAAGCATCACATGGTAGAACATTGTCCTGTGGACGCCATACTAACTCTCGTCTGGAGGATGGCAAGTGCTACTGTACAAATACCGGGCATTCGTGCACACTACGCTGGCGATCAAATTGAAGGCCCAACGCCGGAGCAGAAAAGTATGCCCAGGGCAAGCAGACTGAGAAACAGAAACAGAGCGACGGACTGATATCAGAGTCAAAGGCGATTTGGAGCAAGAGATCAAATATGAAGAAAAAATGCATCAGTGGGTACGAAGGCGATGCAAACCCAGCAAGAGATCACAAAAGAAAGACTGGTATCCAAGCTCGAATGAATTATTCTCCTCCTGGGGATCACACAGCCTCTCACTTCGGCCCAAACTTACCTCGATCCCGCCTGGCATCTGCCAGGCCGCCACACCGTCCGATCCCAGAATTCTTCGGCAGGCTGTGCTTGCAGACACCTGCCCCCCGCAGAGTCCTCAATATTGTCACATCGCCACCACCTGACGTCCACCCAGCCCTCACCACGTCGAACTCCGACTTCATTTGGTGGCAAGCACAAGGGGGTAGGAGGAGGGGGGAGGGCTTCTTAGAAGAAGGCTGCCTCTTAGAAGGCGCCGGCCCTACATCTATCTATTGAGAAAGCCTGCGCCTTCGAAGAAGTAGAGGTGCATCTGAGAAGCCCTCCCCCCTCCCCCAACCCCCTCTGCGCGTGGCTGATTCATGGCGTTCTGGTCTTGAGGCGCTCAGCACATAGCGGAAGTCAGCCCGTGCCCACGTTCACCCAAGCCCGTTGTGGCCGCCCTCCTTCACCCGACCCCCGAGCCTCCAGGGACAATCTGCGCGTCTATGTTATTTCTATACACACAAATATATGTAAATACACCTGCACATACGCATACATATACAAGTTGCACGTGTGTGCCCAGGGTCATACAAAAAACAAAATGCAATAGCGAGGTCGCACTCGAGCGCAAGTGGGGTTGCAAAAATTGCGATGTGTGTACCAGGGCCCCCCAGGAAGCCTCAGGAGGCCCGACCTAGATACCGTAAGAGGCTCCAGGAGGCTCCAAGATTGTGAGTGTTGTGTGGGTGTGTGTGTGTGTGTGTGTGTGTGATGTGTGCTCTGTGTTGTGCGTGTTTCCTGTGCGTTGTAGGTGTTGTGTGTGTTATGATTGTCTAGCGTGTGACGTGTTGGGTGTGATTTGTCTCTCTGTGTGTGCATGTAGTTCTGAAGCCCCAGGAAGCCCCAGGAGGCCCCAGGCGGCCTCAGGGGGCCCCAGGAGACTTCAGGAGGCTCCAGGAGGCCCCAAGAGGCTCCAGGAGGCCGCAGGAGGCCCCAGGAGGCCCCAGGAGGCTCCAGGAGACCCCGAGGAGGCTGCGAGGCGAGGTCTTGG